GTTCTGTCCCCCTTCTTTGCATCGGACAACCAGCCCTGAATTCCCCAAGAGGGGTGTACTCTTTGCCCCACACCCATTTAAGCTGATGACAATAGTGGGATTAGAAAAGAATTTACTCTAGCACCCAGACCCTAGAAAAGCTTATCCATCACTAAATGGCAAAATGCAAGACTGAAGGAAAGCGGGGAGAATGTGATAGAAGCCGGTCAGCGATCTTAACCTGTCGAATGTTAGCTATGGTAGCTTATGGAAGAGTCTTGACCAATAGCACCGAGTCTTTAGCCGCTCCTGAGCTCCACTGGTGGCTGTGGACTGTCTCATTGATTTTCTAAATAGCAGTGAAAAGCATATCCATACATTTCCACCTTTTCCTGATGTTTGACTGTTTACCGACGTGCTTGACAAATCAAAGAATGTATTTAAACTCGTTTAATCCCATCTCAGAAGCTTCACAGCAACGCCATAAAGAACATAGCAACCAGTGTCTGAGATGTGCGTGCCGTATTTGCTCGGTCCTGACACAAACCTTATATGTTTTTTTGATATGATTATTTACACGGTGATAAATAAATTCGATTATTTTTTAATGTGCTTTAATTTGGAATGTTTCAGAGCGTGTTGTAGTAGCCCAAATACAACAGGGAGTTTTTGCCAGTTAATGGATGTCTCATGAATTTCACACTCCTGCATTCACTCATGTAGGCTTATCCATCCTTTGTTACCCATCTTCCTTGAGCTACCAACTGTGACCTTTGTGACCCCAGTATTAACTGTGAAGGTCTGCAAAATGAAAAACTGACCTTAAAGAAACAAAACCAAATCAAACATTTAGTCTTTCATCATAGCCTCCTTTGAAACTAATTTCTGTGTTTTAACTGTAGAAATGCATGCCTTTTTGTAGTTTACCACTCTGACAGCATATGTGTGAGGCTTTTGTCTTGTAGTTTGTGTCCACGGTCGAATGTTTAAAGAGTTAATGCGCTCAAGTTTTCCCTTCGCTGCCAATTAACCCCAAGACCATTGCAGCATTTCCCTAAATCCACACAAGACCCTTTTTAGTCCCTACTTTAAAAAGGCTAAGCAGACATAAAAAGGGGGGGGAAAAAAAGGCTAACCTGTTAGCAAACAGTGAAAAGGGCCAAAAAGGGTTTAATCCTCATTAGACTAAATTCAGACTAAGCGGCCCCAAAGACCCTTTCAAAGGGGAGTTTCTTCAGGGAGTTCAAACTCTTGCTGGGTGACGTTTGGGTTGAATACTTTGAGCCTTTAGGCTTCATCACCCTACACTTGCTGCAAGCTGGGCTTGTTTATTTTGCTTTAAGTCTCTCACACTCCAGCACGGCCTCGTAGCTGTGTTTATTTGTTGGTTTTTTTTCTACCTTGTAGTTTGTTTTACTTCCCTCAAGACAAATAGAGCTTTATGTATGACCGGTGATTACATCTTGAATTAGTTACATGATAGTAGAACAATTGGGCCCATCAATCACGGTTGGAAGCAAGTTGCCTGAGCTGCTCGTGTTGAAAAAAGTGATCTTTAGGGTCAATACTGTTTTTTATTTGTAATGAAGTAACAGTACTCTCACTGTCAGAAATATGATTGTCTGAATGTTTACATGGAAGTAGATTATCTTGGTTTTGCTGTATGTGTAAAGCTCTCTGACTGACATATCATATAAATTATTTTTTTTTATTGATAACATTTTTGTGAGATGCCTCCCTCTCATACCAAACCTTAGTTAGTCTTTCTGTTTGTTTGATGAAAACATACACCTGCTTTGGGCAGCTTCTGACCGGTGCATATAGTCACGTGGCCCCATTGTCTGAAAGTCAAACGATTCCAGCTGCTAACGTTGTGGAGGCATTGTTTTTTACTTTTTGAGCCCTTTGTTTCATAAGTAGCACAGTCTCAGATGTACCCCACCAGCTCTATACACTCTACCTGCAGTGGGTTTAACTGAAATGCACCACTTCTGGAAGAAGGAGACTGAAAATGACTGTGTCTATTAACTTGTCTTTTACTTTATATCTGTTCATCGTCATTCTCCCATCTTCTCTTTATTCATTTTCTTTCTTGCTTTCACTCAATCTCTGTAGCAAAATCCGTCTTAATTGGCTCCAGTGGGCTCTGGGAGGCTTTGTGTCGGCCGTGATGAGGCTCCTGATTGGACCAGAGGCTCAGATAGCCAACAGACCCCTCGTTAGTGTGCTAAGGCCCTTAGCTTGCTCGTTAGTCCGATTAACTCATTTACTGATGGGGGGTGACAAGGGCTTGTTTACGAGCATGGGTTAGATGTAGGTAGGGGGTAAGAGATGTGTGTTTGGGTGAAGAACATTGGAAGTGTAGAGCAGGTTCATAACAGTTATAGCTTACATATTAGAGTGTCAAAAAGCCTTGAAATGTCAGCTTGTGTTGGTCTGCCCCTTCGTTCTCATTTGCTGCGATAGTAAAAGAGCTGTTTGTGTCTCGCTTCACTGACACTCGGTTTATTGCAGGTTGCTTGATTCTGTGGTCAGTCAATTGCGAAATGGCAACAAACAGAAGAGCACTGATACAAGTATGACTATGCATTGATTTCTTTTGTATATAATTGGTGTTTAATTTGATAGAGGGTCACTGTTTTGGTTGATCTGCATTTTGTAGACGTGTAGTTGGACATTTAGTATTTTTTCCCTGATGAGATGCGGAAAAAGAAATGCACTATGCATCCCTTCATACAAAACTTCTTTTTTTTTCTTAATATTGCTTGTCTCTCATCGCCATTCTGATGTTGATGGATCACCTCTCTTCCTCCCGCTCATTAATTTCATCACCTTATCTCCCACACCACTTCATTTGACCAAAAGGTAATAATACATCCCTCATCCATTATCCTTTAACTGAGGCGCTCATGCGGAAATACTTAATAACAGGCAACAAATTGAACTTCAATCACCTTCTTTTTTTCCTCCAAGGATGCACAACACATTAAACAGAATACAGATATGCATATGCCATTCATCAAACACTGTTTGAGTCATTTTATCATTTCTGTGTATTAAACCGGCGCGATTAGATTTTTACATTATTACATTCTTTTTCAGATTTTGACAAATAAGCATCATTGGTAACTGGTAGTGGCCTTTCACTCCAATCCAAGCTTCTTATCATCCCCAAAACACACACACACACACTCAGTCTGTCCAACAGCACAGGCAGTTGAGAGCTTGATCTATCTTCACCCACAATCCTGGTAGATGCTCTCTTTACTCTTCTTTAATCTAGTTCAGTTTCAATGAAATTTAATCCGTGCCACTATATTCTGCCACGTGACGTGTGGTTGGACTTGGTGAGGGAAAGTGTGGCATTTCTGAGAGACTTCAGTGGCTCAGACTGTCTGCCAGATCCAGTGGTGATAGTTTTTGCATGTGTGTGTGCGTGTGGTTACACAGCGTAGCCTCACCCGACCCCTCTTCATATGTCCTTCTTCATTCCGCAGTCTTTTGGGTGTCTGACAAAGACAAACGGCGGTGCTTCAGAAATGAGCAGCAGCTCGCCACACAAACAGGTTGAGAGGAGGAGGGAGACGCAGAGGGGAAAGCCGTGCAATCCAGAGCCTCTCCTTTGTTTTCTGTTTGGTTGTTTCCTCTTGCGTGACGCGTCGAAATTGATCTTGGAGCTCACAAAAGCCAAATCCATGGATATTGTTCCATTTGAACTAAAACGTCAATAAAACTATGCTTCATACTTAACCAGTTCCTCGTATCCAAGCTTCTGATTAATATAACGCACCCGTTTTTATGTAATGGTTCAACGTACTTTCACGCTTTTTTTCAAATTGATTTTTGTTATTTTGTTGATTCATTTTCTTAGGAATTCTAATGCGATCTAATACTAGCGTGGCCTCTGCTGTAGCTTTGTCATTTCTTTTCACCTGACAGGTCCAGTTCTTTCATTACAATACATCACAGAGGAAACTGAGGCAGCTATAACTCCATCTCGGACAATAACCGCCACACCACCGTAATTTGTCCAGACGTGGTCAGAACAGCTAAAGCATTACAGCACGGATAGTTTGTCATGCTGGTTGTCGCCCACTCAGCTTTTTCATCTGCAATGGAAAGGGTACAGTTGATGGGGACAATGATCTTGGGAACATAGAGTGCTATTTACAGCAATCCAGGAGATTCATGGGCGCAGGGGAAAATATGATATCTGGCTGCCTCCCCTGCTGTCATATCTGTCCACGGAATCGGGGACAGCAGCTTCATCAGTTCAGCCCTGGACACCTCCTTGACATCCAGTGTGAGATCTGGGTGTTGTCCCGGGGATGAAATGAGTGAGCCAATGCCTTTTGAGGGGTAGAAGGTTACACTCCAAACACTCATTCACTGCACCTCTGAAAACAGGAGCTTTATTTTTAACTGATTAATGGAGAGAGAGTGTCTGAAATGGAAAGAAAATGGTTTAAAGGTCAGTCTTTTTATGGGCAGTTGTAATAAGCTGCAAACTGAAAGAACCCCCGATACATTGTAAAACTCTGTATGAATAATGTGAGAAATACTTGTTTGTGCCTGTATGGTTTTCTTTTTATTGTTAACAGTAAAAATGTCTATACACCTACATTTTCACAAAATAATAAAAATCCATACATCGTAAAAGGAATTGATTTTATATCCAATTGCTTTGTTATGATCTTGGTCCTATGCTTGTATCTTAGCATAATATAACATACTTGTTCACTTTCTTGCCAAGAAATTCCATTTTATATGAATTCTGAGCCAGATTCAAGATGATTATATGGGAAAAATATTCTCTAGATTTATGATTTATTTTTCATTCATTTGCATTGTAATTAATCATTGAAATATTTTCACCTTGTATCACCAAAAAAAATGTTTCCTGGATTTGGCAATACCTAATGTGTCTGGTACAGTCATCTGAGGACCAGTGGCTGCTGCCCCAGCCAGCTATTCCCAGCCACTAATCCTCATTTAATTGAACTCTAGAGACTTTGAAGCGAGTCTGTGATGCAGGCAGGTCTTACTCCTCAGAGAGACAGTGAGGGTGATGCTGTCCTCAGTTAAGGGTCTCAGCTGTTTCCTTCTGCTGTCCCTTACCTTTAATGAGCTCCTTTGACTTAACATTAGACCTTGGTTGCCAGCTCATATTTGAATATTTCTGATTAATAACACTTCTCTTAACCACAGCGTGACAACCTTAAGTGTGCTTTTACCTCCCCACCACATCTCTTCATGCCCCTTTGTCAGCAGACGCCTTTGAAAGTGCAAGCAGAGGATGAAACAAAAGCATATATAACAAAGCAGTGCTAAGTAGGTTAGTTGCAAACCTAAATGCTGGATTAGTAAGAGCAAGAATCGCAGGGGCAGGGCTAAACATTTGGCTCTGTCAGGTGCTGTGACAGGCATCAGAACAAGTCACTCCGACAGCCAGGGCAATCTCCATGGGGACATATTAAGCCCATTTCATCTGAGCATTTTAGAAAGTGAAGCAAGGTTGCACATTATTGTCTGACCTCTGTGTCTGTTAGCTCTGTGGAAACACTCAAGTTGAAATCAGAAGGTTAGCATGAAATGCTCTCATCTGTGACACTGTCATTCCAAAGTAACTTCCGTAATTTATTATCCCTTAGTGGACTCGACATTTCCTCCAGCCCCTCGAGCTAAATTGTTCCCATTCTCCTGCTAAAGGAATCTTTTTTTCATTGAGGCTGATCAATATAAGACATTAATCGTCCTGTACTGGCCCCGGTGCCATCAATGTGTGAAAAATGAGCAAACCCACCAATTCTCTCTGCTCTGTCGTGCCTCCCTTCTCATTTCTCCAGTCTTTGATCTTCTCTTTAATCTGTTTTTATTTTCATGTTCACTCCTTTTTGGATAACTTATTTCTAATTCAACCCATTTCATTGTCCCCTCTCTCCTGGTCCCTTTTCACAGATTTTGGCCTATACGGAGGGTCTTCATGGAAAATGGCTCTTCACAGAGATACGGGCTGTATTTTCCAGGCGATATCTGCTACAGAATACAGCTCTGGAGCTGTTCATGGCAAACAGAAGTACCTATCATTTTATACAATTATTTCTGCTTTTTTTATTTAATGTTTCCTTAGAATTCACAATTTTTAATATTCTATGAGACACTGATTGGCCTATATCTCTTGAGATTATGCTTGTTATAACCAGATTTTTCTTTGCCTCTATCCACAGCCGCAGTCATGTTCAATTTTCCAGACACGACCACAGTAAAGAAGGTTGTCCACAGTCTTCCTCGTGTTGGGGTGGGCACCAACTTTGGCCTTCCACAGACCAGGTTAGAGCTTCGTGATCCCTTTTTATTGCAATTGATTCAGCTCAAGAACAAATAAACATTTTCGTTTGTTGTATATGTCTTTGTAGAATTGCAGACTATTTGTAGTTTCTCTAGTTCGAGCTCTCATTCATAGAATGGGTTTGGATGCTGATTTGTCAATCCAACTCCCCCCCTCTTGGCCTCTTTAATATTAATGACCTCACGCAGTGTAAAGGATTTTTGTTTTTGTTTTTTATTGGAAACTCTCCAAAGTTATCTGGATAAAAACATTATTCTTAATGTAGGAGTGTGTGTGCATACAACACAGAGTTAGAGTGCTTGTGTGTGTGTTTTTGTGTGGCACATTAATCAAGCCAGTTTGCAGGCTACCTTGTCTCTCCAGTGGTACATAGACACACACATACACACGCTGGCATACAGAGGCTTAAAGAGCCAGCACTGTACTGATGTATTCAGTGTCCAGTAATATTTTCCAGAAGTTTTGCTATCAGCACTCAGTGAAATAGCCAAGCTTCTTACACACACTCTGTACAATGTGGTATTTTAATCTTCGCCTTGGATGATATGGAACTACACTTGTGTAGTATGATCTTAATAAGTTTAACAAAAAGATGAAAATTCAAAAGCATCTTGATCCTCACCGTTGGCTGGCAACATTATTAAGGTTACATCTGGTAGTGTATTAGTATTGTATAAGTAGTGTTATCCACATTGTTGTTAGCCTTAATGACCATCATTTCACACTCTGGCATTGATTAATTCCATCATTTTCTATTGTTTTAATTGGACTGGGGGTCATTTGGTTTTGTCCTACAGCATACATCATGCTCTTAGAGGGAGTGTGTGCACACGTGCACAAAGACATGTGACTGAAGTTGGTTTAAGGCACATTTGTCTTCTTAATTAGCAATACTGTGAGTTTGGAAGATATTCCATTAAAATACCTCTGTTTTGTCACAGTTTTTTTTATTCTGCATTACTTGTGAAGTGGCAAGTATTTGTTTGGCCTTATTTAGTTTGGCAGTTAACAAAACATTTGATGTTTTTCTGTGTTTTTCATCGTAGACGCATTTCTCTGGCCACTCCCAAGCAGCTCTTCAAGGCATCCAACATGACCCAACGCTGGCAACGGCGTGAGATATCTAACTTTGAGTACTTGATGTTTCTCAACACCATCTCTGGTGAGGACTCCACCCAACACCTGTGTCTTGTTATCATGGTATTTAGAACATGGTAAAAACATTTGTCTTTTTCTTCTTTTTTTCTTTTCTTTTGTCCATTTAGGTCGCACCTATAATGACCTGAACCAGTACCCAGTCTTCCCCTGGATCATCACCAACTATGAATCATCAGAACTTGACCTCACCCTGCCCAGCAACTTCAGAGATCTGTCCAAGGTAAAATACAACACACACATTGTCTCCTCTTTCTCAGCTACACTTAACACTGAGAAGGCACATAAAACACAGCAAACATTCTGTGTGTGTGTGTGTGTGTGTGTGTGTGTGTGTGTGTGTGTGTGTATTTTCAAAAGTAACCTAAGCTTCTGTTTAAATGCAATTGATAAATTCATTGAATCGAATCGCCTGTGGCTAATAACTATTGAAATTAAATATTCAGTTAAAATGAGTTTCTTTTTAGTAAATGCCATCAATTGAGGACATAACATTGGTCAAATATTGAACAGAATCCAAAGTTATTTATATTTAGTGCACCTATATGCCCAATTAGTTTAAATAAAGTAGTCTGCCAAAGGTCACAAATTTCCATGAGCTGTTGTTGTGTTAGAGCTCATCTGTTAACGATGATCACTAGTTAAATTTGTTGGTCATGCCAACGCCAGCGTCCCGCACTTGAGAGATTTAAACTCCACATGTTCACGTCGTTAACTCACAATTCCTTTTTCTATGCATAAATCAAAGGTCATAATTGAAATCTTTGTAAGTTTGACCTTTCACAGCACATCAGGAAGTGCAGTTTACTCCCTGGTAGCTCCAGGCATCAAGTGATCGGGTTTAAAACGGGCAGACCTGCCCTGAGATGCTCCTGTGAACATAAATACTGTACACACACACTCAGACTGCTGAAACAGCTCAAAAGATTCTCCCCCATGTTGTAAGTAGACGTGCAGTTATTTACGTCCATCAACTCCCTCACTTTTCTACACGCAAACAGAAAGCCAAAAACCTTCTCCCCAGCTTTCCAGTTCCTGATGCTGGATTGAACAGTCCAGTGGTGGGAGGACAGAGGATTAGTATCGGAGTGAGAAGATTGACCACCTGTCAGGCTGCTATAACTAAAATGACTGAATAAATCAGGCTTGGAAACAGAGAAGCATGTGGTAATGGACCAGGGATATGTTGGAGAAATACTCCATTGTGATTAGTGTTTTTTTATGGCTCTTTAAATTTGCAGCTATTCTTATTTAGTGATGCAGTTAGATTTGCTGTTTCTTTTTAGATGACACATTATAAGACAATTATAGCCACCCCCCATTTTCATAAAAAAAAGTCAGTAAACTTTAAAGCTTTTAATTTTGACATTACCAGAAATACATACCCGGGTAAATATAGGTATGCTCTCATGGAACTCCACTGGAAAAAGACATACATTGAAACAGAGCACATAATCTTTGGGAAACGATAAAATGCAATACAGTAAATTACAAACAAATATTGTGGATATGAAACAAAGGTGACCCTCTCAAACCTTTATTCTTTCACACTGTTCTGTCATACAGATTAAGCTGTCAACATCTTGTACCTTAGTGCTCTCAGGTATTTTTTCACATTTCAGTCTGCTCCTGTGTTTCCTCTCTCCCCGTGTGTATCTGCCTACCATATGAGGCTGCGCAACACCTCGGTTTATCTGCCTTGATGTTGCACTGTAGGCTGAAATGTGACAGTCGTATTATCCACACCATCACACACAGAGACTCAAAAAGGCAGCCGTCTTTTGGGTTTTTAGCTCATTTCTGCTTCCTGCGCCTCTCCTTTGCACTGCCGCGGAATCCGCTGGGCTCGGCCTCTGCGATCAGTCAAGCCTCACAGCCGCGGGGACCTGGCAGCGGAGGGGGAGTTGGGTAAAGGGAGAAGACACAAAGACTATCAGAAATCTCAAGCAAAGAGGAGGAGAGGCAAGAAGAGAAGAACATAATCATTTCCCGTCGCTGTATTTTGTTCTTCTTCATGAGCAGAACGGCAGCCGGGAGAGAGGAGGAGGAGGGGAGGGAGCAGGGCCAATCTTTATTACATCTGTTTTATTCATGCTGTTGACATGTGTGTGATATCAGTGTATGACTACTGGACCGTGTCAGACGGCAGTGTCTAGAAAAGGGCAAGAAGCGCTGTACAGTCCCCTAAAATCAACCCCCACCAAGGAATTCTACACCTACAATCATTTGTGAACCATGTTTCTTCTCCTTGTAAGAAATTGCTTTGCTGCCATCAGCTCTTGTTTTTTTTTTGTTTTTAAATGTGCGTGTGCACTTCTCACCAACATAATGCTTTGCTTTCTGTCTTTCTGTCTGCCTTTTGTATTGTTTAATTTTTTTCTGTCTCTTTATGTTTTCCTTTCACTTGTTTCTCACCCTCCACGTCTCTCTTCTCCCCCTCCTACAGCATGTCACTTTGGTAGCTGTCTCTTGCAGAAACAGGTCATCTGTGAAGCCTCCAGTGACATTGAGAAGCCAAATTGCCATGAATGCACGTGTGTGTCACACACTGTCATCATTGCCAGCACAACAGAGGCCACACAGAATTTATATCCCCTGCTACCAGAGCCAGTCTGACCCCAGGGACTTTCTTATCATAAACTCTAACCTCAACCTGACATCAAACGCCGACCCCCAAGATAACATTGTAGTCACGATAAGCACTCACTACCAAGTGATGTTATTCTCCTATTTTATCTTTTCTTCTTCTTTTTATCCTCCACTGATTTGTACACCCGGCTTAACTAAACCGTCATACATATTTCTTTGCAAAATTGCATTTGTCCATGATATTGAAAACTATAGGAATGCCATTCCATATTTTGCATTCTTACAGATTTAAATGGATGTTAGAAAGGGAATTTCTAAAATTCAAAGTCGGTGTACGCTCATAGTCTATATGAAACTCAAGAGAAATTCTATATTTGATGAGCCTGAGCCATTGAAGTAGTTCAGTGCAATAGCCGAGGAGCATTATGAGCAAAAACTCAGTGATGTGCGAGAAGAGGAGAGCTTTTGCATTGTTGCTGCGGCTGTATTACATTTAATGAAGCACAGCAAACAATTAAAATAACTGCTTATCTGTTATATAGTGGGCATTTACACAGCAGAAGCCACGGATAGACTTATTGAGTGTTCTTTGTACCTTTTGTGCCATAACCTGCTCCTCACAGCCAGATCTGCTAATGGTGTATTGATCTTACCATGCGTGCCCCATGTGTTTACCCCTCAGGGCCTCTGCACCATTTTCAGCGTTTAAATAGGGCATTATGCATAAACAGTCTGTTCAAAAGGCCCTTTTGATTTATGACTCAAAGTCCAAGTGATGCTGTTGGTAGACCATTAGATTTCATCTGAGGTGACGCGTTGTTTTATAAGTAGCACTGCAGAATGTTCTTATAATAGTATAACAGTCAAACGCTCATTTTTTAAGAGAGGGCCTTTTTTTGTCAGAACAGTAAAAATATGTTTTTAATAACTCTATTGTGTTGATGGGGTTTTCCTCAGATAATATGAATTCTACCGTAGGTGTTGTACAATAATGCTTTTGATTAGTGTTGAATTGATTGTATGCTGAATTTTAGGGGATGACGGAAGGTTTTCTATGACTTTGTGTATTCGCTCTTTTGTTTTCATATGAATTTTTCATCTGAGCAGCATCACGGTCCTCTTCCTTGATTTAGAGCTGATTAAAACTCATTTACTATTAATGTTCTAATGTTTACCATTTTAAAGTGCTAGCATGATTTTTTTTGCTGCGGCCTACTCTTTAGTTTAATTAAAGCTATGAGATTGCTTCATTTGTCTGTGTGCTCATCAGAGCACTGCAGCGTGCCGTCACATATTAGCCTAATCTGTGGTGGAGCTGCAGCGGGCGGCCCGTCAGCACGCTGCCCTGATGTACGACGTCGTCAGCGCCGCTCAGTTGTCGCTCCTGTAAGTTGCGAGCGCTGGCCCCACTGTAATTTACAGCGGTAAACAATGTCGGGACCGTGCAAAGCGACAGCCCCCACATGCACTCGCACACAATTCTCCCTCTCTCTGTCACTGTGGCACTTACAGTCTTTCTTTTATTTTATATGCCTCTTCTCCCTTTTCTTTTTTTAATGAGCCGACTGTTATTAGAGCTATAAATCACACCAATGGGTGTGATGTATAATTCACTGTGTGTACTCACCCACCCCAGTGGCCCTGAGGAAGCCCACAGTGTATCAATGTCAACATGTAGCTGCAGAGTGTGGAAGCAAAATGCCTTTCACTTTGTAAATGCACTCACATTGAAGACCTCTGTTCACAAAATAATCAGAAATATGCATATAGAATAGACACCGATACTGCACAGTGTGGCTATCACTATGCACAAACATGCCCCATTACACCCACATGAAACGGTAGCAACAGCGCAGATCAATATCAGAGACTCGGCCTGCATGAGTCTTTATGTGACAGGCATCCTATGATATGAAAGAGATCCAATTGATCCTCACCCTGCATGGCCCTCATCCTCAAAAGGCCATCATTCCATTACCATTGATCTACTGTTTGCGTGTGTGGTGGAGAGAGAGATGATGTTTGGTGGGAGATAAGGGTGGGCAGAGAGAATGATGCACATCCAGCAAAAGACTAATAAAAATTGAACCTGCCTGAGAAGTGATTTCTATAAATGAGTATTTAAATAATAGTCACCCAAAGGGTTATTAGTTTTTGAGAAGCAATGGGAAATTAATTCAACCATACCATTTTTTTTTCCACTGCAAATCGGCTCGGTGAGCAGTGTATTAGTTACAGATTAATAAAAGCAGAAATTAAAGGCACCCACAGCTTTGCTATTGATATTCCTTGTAGGCACTCTTTCATTGGAGGACATTAGTTTTCTTTGACAGACTTCTGCTGCAGGGCTCCGTTTCACAGCCTCTAAAAAGCACTCTGAGGGAAAGGATTGATCTCCGTCTGAAGGCAAACATCATCTAATATTCATTTGAAATTACACTATGGTTGCCAGCTTCATTTCCAGAATAACTATTATGTTTTCCCAGTCAGATTCAGTGCAGCCTTTCTTCTCCCTCGGCCCATTCTTGGTTGTCTTTATTATTGCTTTCATATAAACCTATAATTACTTAAGGTCGTTTGTTGTATTTGACTTGTTCTCTTATTTTAAATTTCTTTCTTTTTCATTTGTCTTTGTAGCCCATTGGTGCTCTGAACCCCAAGAGGGCAGCATTCTTTTCAGACCGTTACGAGTCCTGGGAGGATGATCAGGTGCCCAAATTCCACTATGGCACGCACTACTCCACCTCCAGTTTCACCATGATGTGGCTCCTACGCATGGTAAGTGCAAAGTATATAAACCTTTAACCATATTTTAATAACCAACCATTGTAAATGTTCCTACATCGACTGCAGTGAAGTAATAGAATAGCACAGCAAATGCACAAGCTTATACAAGGTGGTCATTTCTGCTCTGTTTTTGAATTAGAATAATCTTGCATGCCGCAACAATGATTAAAGGCCTAAAATTCTGTAGGTCAATAATCTGACCTTCATGTCAAATAGTTTCTCACCTGGGATGAGCTTTGATTTGTTTTTCAAGAGCTTATGCCGAGCACGTTTTGCACTAAACTCGTCTCTTTTGGTACTTTTGTTAAATGCATACCATCAATCTTTCCATACTGCACTCGAGGGAGAATGGGGTTACTAAGTTTCTCCAACATGCAGTTTTCTTCTGTTATTGTCCCTGTAGCTCACAGCCTCAGTGACTCCCAGTAGAGTTACCACATTGATCCCCACACATCATTAGCCAGCTTATTCTTAAGCCACTTGATCAGTAGCCCTCAATAGTAACTCTCACTTAAAGATCAGACATAACAATGAAGATTTGATGCTAACTTCTTTAGACGCATGCTTGTCTCTGTAACTCATGGAATGCTACCTTGGAAGTAAAACTGTGTAATGAGAGGTTATGTGATTAATGCCAGGCACTCTTAAACAAATGAGGTTTCTGTCATTTTAGGAGCTATCCGCAGTATTCATTTATAGCTTGGGTGCGGTATACTGTATCTATGCCATTTGGGGCCTGTTACGTCAGACAAATAGCTATTGATCTGTCTTAACAAGGTTATTCATGATTAGAAATGCATTAGTAGCACAAGTGTATTGATTTAAGATGCTCACTGGGATTATTATTTCTCATTCGTTGCTGCATTCCAGTTAGTTTGAGTTTATGCAAAAATACTTAAATCTGAGGCTAATATGGTGACAAAGGGCTGCATTGACATCTGTTTTTATGGCAACGCACTCGCACTGTTGGACAGTTCCAGATGTAGCAGTGGACCGCTCAATTCAGATTCATAGTTTGTCTCATGTATTTTACAGGAACCCTTCACCACCTTCTTCCTCAACTTCCAAGGGGGGAAGTTCGACCACGCTGACCGCACTTTCTCCTCAGTCTCCAGGGCCTGGAGGAACTGCCAGAGAGACACATCTGATGTAAAGGTACTGTTCACGTGTAACCATGCACACATGTGATTTGGAAAGATTCCTTAAAAAAGTACTTGTAAAAGATAAAGCACTGAGCATTGCAGAAGAATTAATCCCCATTCAGAATCCTTTAAAAAAAGAAAAAGGTTTCCACGGAGAAATTTTCAGTCACTACCAATCTTTGTCCCCATGCAATGAAAGCTTCCTGGTCTTCTGATCAAAGCATTAGACTAATCCTCATCTGTCTCAGCCGTCTGTCTCAGATTCAGCCAGCTATAACATGGACTTGAATCGCTGCCCATTGGGCCCCCAAACTGTGCTGAGCTTTTGGATTTGCCCTGCAACTGCACAGGTCAATCTCATACTGAGGGCCTTCGAACCCCCAGCGCACACTTTAACTGCTCTCCTAAAACATTTACAACTACAGTCAGACATTCGCTGTCAAAGCTGGGTCTTGCTTGCTCTCTTGGCACTGGGTCACTGGATGGGGGAACAGCAGTGGTGTTGGGGGCTTTGACGCTTGATTGCATTTACCACCCCCCTCACGTTCCTCCGATAAAACATATGGATTGTGTTACTGTGTAGCTGGCCAATGCTTGATTGCGAAACCCCAACAACAGCCCTCGTTTGCTCTTTCAGTCTAGACCTGTCAATGTGGATCAAACTGTGAGAGCTCAACTTCAGATCAAAACAAGTGGAAAATCTGGACCACATCAGTTTGTTTCCTCGTTCGGTTTGAATGTGTAGCGTTTTTCAATGAAAGTTCGTCGACTTTATCTACTTGGATGCACGCATTCATGTTGTAAACACCAGAGGAATTAGGAATGAGATGTATCAATTTGGTATGCTAAGTACACCATTTAGCTTTAGTGTTGGGGCCATTGATGGCAGGCCTGTGTCCCTGCCAGAGGGCAAAAGGTTCCTGTGTTTTCATATGCCACTGGTAAAGAAGGGGTGATAATAGCTTACAACACCCAGATTCAATGTTTCTCTAGCCTAGGTGACGCTACAATGACCCCTCATCCCCAATCCCCTGACCTCTAGCCTCAGCCCAGAGGCATCAGAGGGGTTAGAGGTAGCAACAGTGGAAGTGTAGCCAGAGAGCCCAGAGGCCTTAGCCCCTTCCAGTGACCCATGACAGGACAGGATTGGGGATCAGAGGGGCTGCCCTCTGACCAAGCTAGAGCAAAGGGGCGACTGCACATAATGGTCCGTGCTAGACAGGCCAGAGCGTTGGTAAGTAAAGGCCACACGGTTTCACTGATATGTGTGTGCGTGCGTGCACGGGCATGCAACAAGCTAACTCTTGCTCAAATTTACAGCAGGCTGCAGCCAGTGAACCTGGGTGAGCCAAAGGCCTCGTTAAGAGGCTGACCTTTAGTTTTAGGTCGGATTTTGTGAAGTGAAGAAATTTCAGAAGTGAGGAAGTCTTATGTTGTTTTAGACCTGCATGTTTGCTTGATCATTCGATAGGATGTTTTCACCCCATTAATGAGTGGTGGAAATGCTGTGTTGCTAATTTGATAGCAGTCCTCTTATTGAGTGCATTGATTTGTATATTTACAGAGCACATGTCCTCCTTCCTCTAGTCTTACTGTTAAGCACTTAAATGTTCACTCGCAGCAAGTCAAGGGAGGTGAGGTGTGTGTTGTCCAACAATGGACTGTGAACACTGTTTTTTATCGAAAGGCCAGTCAGCACTCAGCATTCAGAATATATATATATATTATATTTGTCATATTGCTAGTCATATAATTAAAAGTGGAAGGGAATACATTAGGAGAGCAATGTTAAGTTTACCCTCAATGATGTACAATGTGCACTTAAGCCCTCTTATAGACTGATTTCCTTGTATTTTGAGAAGCATTGGCAACAAAAGTAACACTACTGCAAGAGCTCGGAAGGCAACACTGATTTATTTCCACATTTTGGAAGCTCAAACTCAATTTTAATGTTTATACTCACATCTGCAAGTTCTGCTTTGTTGAATATGACGAATGACTAAACATATAAGGTTACATCTTCTGTCATAAGTGCCTTTCTCCTTGCCATCCCACAGCATGGGGCTATGTTTGATTGTTTGGGACAGCCAAATAAATTCACGGTATTTACTGATATTGGCTACCTCCTTTTTTCTGTCTGCTGTTGTTTAAAGAAAGGGGAAATAAAATAAAAAAAACGTTTCTTTTTTGTTTGCTTCCCTGATATAAAGAATGTGAACTTATCCAAATAGTGAAAAACTCTTGACAAGCACATAGAGGAGGGCTTTATTACTTATGAAGTGGTAGAAAGTAGATAAGCAACCCCAAGACGTAATTTCCATGAATAATTGCTCAATAGAGAAAACGTTTCTGTCTGACCTTTATAACACATCAAAAATGCATTACTTTTTCAAACAAATTGGATGCATTAATCAAATCATATCCTTCAGGCAGACTGTTCACACAGTTATTTGAGAATGATCTCATCTTGTTTGTGTCATCAACCTGTCGTTATACTATGCTGTGGTAAATACATAGGCTTCTGTAATTTTGTGGCTTTGCTGGTGACACAGCTTGATAAATTGTTTTGTTACAGTAGTTTTCATCTGGCTCTATATGCTCAGAAGTCCCTCTCTGAATTACAATTGGAAAGTTTTATATCTGCTCACAGATTGCATGCGTTGCCCTCTAGCCAAATGCTAATAGCAGCCTTGGTTTTGCTTATCACGTCTGTCACTCTGAGTTTTTACATTTTTGTGTCTTTAGGACAGAAAAGAACAACTTAAAATATAAATTGAGTGGCTGAAGCTGTCTTGGATACACTCGCATGTCAGACCATGTTAGAGAAAGGCATTATTTGTGTTTAATGTCAGTAAAAGAAAAATATCAGGGCCAAACTAATAAAAATGAAAGGTTGACCATTTTAGCTTAAATTTAACCTATTTGATCTGTCATCCAGCTTTTGATTGTTGTTCTGTAAGTAACGACTGTCACTTATGTCTCTGTGCTGACTCAGGAGCTGATTCCAGAGTTCTTCTATCTTCCTGAGATGTTTGTCAACGCAAGTAATTACAATCTAGGTGTGATGGAGGATGGCACAGTAGTCTCTGATGTGGACCTTCCGCCTTGGGCCAAGAGCCCTGAAGAATTTGTGCGCATTAATCGACAGGTAAGAAACAAAAAATACCATACATAGAAACATACAAAGGGAGGAATCCCCACCCTAACTGAAAACGGTCCCAATCCAGCAGCTACAAGCCCTGTTAAAATGTGTCACCACTGCTCAATATTAAACCTTTCAAACCTTAATCATTTCCCCCATTATTCTATTTCTATCTAGTATCTGATCTTGCTTTTCTGAGACTGTTGGTGATAATCCGGAGATCAAACTCAGAAATTGACAGAACTGAAGACTGAAGTTAAATCTTCTCTAGTTTTATCCTTCTCTATGTCCAGTAATTTGTGTGTCCAAAATTTTTTTTTCCCCCCGACCTTAGCTGGGAATGCTAATTTAAAGAGACAGTGTTATTTCCTGACCCTCTAACTTCTTCCTGTTACTTGAGCTACCCACCTCTCCTGCATATCCCAACTTTGTGTCTTCTCTGTTGTCAAAGTGCTCCAACATTGCCTCACCTTGTATCCTTGCCCACCTCACCATCTCTCAGTGATTTCTGAACACACATCTGGTGCATGATTGCGACCACCTCTCTTTGAAATTATGCAATGTTTTCTCTCTGATTTCCCTTTCTTGTTGGCCTAAATCCCAAACGGAAACAGATTTGACTTGTATAGTTGTGTAGAATGTTGTCTTTAAATTGTTTTATTGTGATTATCAATTTTTTCCATCTGCCATACACAACCCATACAAGAGAGCGTCTCGGATGTTTAGATCTAAGTGAAGGTCTGGTATGAAGGTTAAAAAAAGAAAAAAAAATCTTGAGTTCCAGTTTCAGTCCATCTATGGATTTGTTATTGTTGTTATCAAAGAACAAGAAGTACATGTCAGTATGGATAAACCAGATAAATTCATTAAAGACAAACGTAGTTGAATGGGAATTAATATAGAAATAGATTTGGTTTTAGGCTTTACATTTCTGAGACCACATTTCCTTTCCTTTATTTATTTTGGTACCATTTGCAGCTTTGAGCGTGGTGTGTAACCCCAGTGGTAATGGGTTCTGATGAGGCTGGGTGTGCTCCATGACCTGTGTAGTCCTGTGGTGGGGTCTGTTAACCAGCCTGCTGATATGACCATGACTCCATCATTAATCACACACTTTCCCTCTCTCTTGCTGATTGTCAGAATGGTCTCTGGGCTAATGTGGATGTATCAGGAGATGCTAATGGTAGAGGCATGCGGCACAGCAGATGCATGCATTTGGATTTTTGGGGGGAATTGACATATAGTTTAGGAACAATAATTACAATACAATAACTTCAATAAAATCATCAGGCTGCATTTCACATTTGTTAGAAAACGGTAATTATGCAGAATATCAGCATAAATTAATCCCAGTCCTGTTTGGACAAAGTGTATTTCCTTACTGGTTTAAATGTGTGTGTCTCTTCCACTTTTGCTCCCTCTATTTCCTCTGCTCTTCAACTCTGTGCCTAATTAACTGCTGAGGCAGTTTGGTCTGATCCAAGCCGCCTGCACTCATATTAGATACCTGCTACATGCTGCGCTCAGGCTGATAACATTTCAGTCTGCAGACTGCTGCTCTATTTTGTGCAAATTGAGATATTGATCCGACGTGCAGACTGGAGCACATCAAGCAGGTTGAGGTGCCCAGTAACATAACAACCTCCAAAGAACATGGGGGTTTCATTAAAGGGAGACGGAGTACAAGCTTCACTGTAACATAGATACAAAATGTGAATGTGCTGCACTTTTCTCTTTAAACCTTGGGGTTTTATGAAGTGATGAAACAAATTATTCATCGGACTGACAATTAGTGCTCAGGCCGTACAACATTTTTTTAATGGAGACTTTCACTTCCATCAGTTTGAATACAGTAATGCTGGTTTAGGATTAAAGTTCGATGTGTGTTAATTTTACCATCATGTATCCTAATTGTATCATTGTACAGCTCACAGACCAGTGACAAGGTAAAGGGAGGCATGTGTGGGTGGACAGGTCTCTGGTCATGACAGATAGCTGACATTAGAGGGTGTCAGCTGGCAACTGTGGTGTTGCTGTGGGAGAGATGAGCTGGGTGAAGGGGAGAAAGGGAGAGTGAAGGAGTTAATGGACTGTTTGGCTCTCTTAGCAATTCTGGTGCTAATGGCTTCACAACACAAGGATAGACAGCAGGAGAGAACACACAAACACCCACTCTTGCACGGATGCCACAAACACACACGTGCCTGCTGTCTCCACTCTGGTTATGAGCCTTAGATGATTAACAGCTAATTAGAGCTCAATCTGGAGAGGCCATTAAAAGCCTCTCACTGAAGGATTTTGCTGCCGTGCAAAACGGCGACTTGTGCTTTGTTGTTGTGAGAGAGAGATCTGTGGTTGGTTAGAGGAAAAAAAACAAAAAAACAAAAAAGAGAACTGGAGATATAAACATTTCATCAAACTGCAGCCTGGTTTATACGGCTCGTCTGGTGAAAATGTCATAGTTCATCACAAATGTTTAGCAAGAAGTATGCTGCGTTGCAACGGATTAGCTGCAAGTGTTTGTGCCTACACAGCCCACACAACACAGTCTCGACTTTACAACTACAAGTTTGATATGCTGAGGAATTGCTGGATTTAAGACAGACTAACTGGAGACTAAGCACCTCAGCACATCCCGATAAGCCTGCTGCAAAACTACACTGAAGTGCCTACAGTATACTTAAAGTCTCGCTTGTAAAAGCACACTCCCTTTTTCCTTACCCGCACACACACATCCATGAAAAGGCACTGGGGTCTTGAGGCGGTGTGCCACAGAGATCAGGGGCTGGTTGTTGTCTTTACCAGGAGGTCATAGGAAAGGTTAAGAACTTGATCCCTCCTCCACTAGATAACCACATTTCTCTAGGCACTGTCACCCCCTGTGACATTCCACTATATATAACTATATCCAACCTCTCATCCCTGCTGTCTCTTAATGCGACACTCTGTGTTTACAATTGCAGAATTATTTGTGATCCATCTGGGCGTCTGTGTGTTCCTGTGTTGGCATGTGTCAGTGGTTTACCAGCAATCTGCAGGAGCACTGCCTCTTTCATTTGAGCTCTACTGTGGCCATTTGCTGGCCTGTATGTCATGCGTTTGGGTCCTCTCAGACATCTGTGCTCTCGTAGTGATGACAGACCTGCCAGCCACACACATGGAAAAAAACAGGCATCATGTAACTTTTAACTCTTTTTCCCTTCAATAAAGCACCAGCCCACTGACAGAAGTTAGAGAGATGTCAGCTAAACGTCCATTACTGAAGGAAAGAGAATTTCTTCCCATGGAAAGGGCAAAGCCAGTTGAGTGGTGGGTCAGAGGCCGATTCTGAGTGGTTCAGCCGCACCACCTGTGGTCAGCTCTTACTGTAAGACCATCCCCTTTGAATGGCTGTTGGAAGCCAGAGAAGCGCTTATTCAAGCAAGAACATATATGCATGTTGGTGTCTAAGATTGAAACGTTATTGATGTGTTGGGAGTCTATTTGGTAAATGTAAGAGCTTTTGATTGAACGTGTTTGAGATTACGTGTACTCAAAGTAGTTTGGTGGTTGTATGTGATAGTGTGTTGCATTAGCATGTTCAAAATCCTCTCCAAATGCTGCACAGCACAGTCTGCTAATAAGACATTTACCTCAATTATAGCAGGCTTATTTGTCAATGTTAGTTCAGTTATTTTTGAAGTTTAGATTTTTAAAGACCAGGATGGTAATGTGGAACCTGAATCCTCTGCTTTGGACATACACACACACAAATGTATTGGAGCTTTAGTGGCTGGATTTGAATGGCACATCTCATGGCCCTGTGACGATTTTTTTCCCTGTATATCCCGGTAAGGTTGATTCTTTTTTTTTTTTTTTTTTTTTTAAAAAAGAGTGTTGTACTAAACAACAATGTTGGCTTTGTTTTTGGAGTTTCATATTTCACCCTACAGCTGTTATGGTGTTATGGTGGTGACAGTGCAATAATCCTGCCTGCAGAGGTACATTTACACAGCCACCAAAAGACAAATGTCTTATTAACTGGAGTCAAATCACCTTTACCCCCCAACTTCCACACTAGCACTTTAGGGGTCTCTCTCTGAAGTTCGTCAGCCTTATATGCTGACAGCCGTTCACGCTTACATCAACTTAGTCATAATCAGTGGTCCATAATCCTATAAGAGCTTCATAGAGTTATTGTAAGTGGCAGTTACACATGCTGCCCATGCCTGTTTGATAATAGTTTAAAAGTATTATCACCAGCAATTTGTTGATAAGCACATTCATTGACTGTCCCTGTAATTGAAATATGACTGAGAGTGGAATACCAAAGACAAAGGCATGTCTCAGATTTTTTCCCCACAAGACATATAGCTAACATAATGGCTCCAAAGCTTAGACCACCATCTATACAATGTCAAAGATCATGACTGTTTACTTTCACTTCTCATCCACACAGCACTTAGATCACACAGCCACTGGGGGCTACATCAGGCTGTTCCCACCAGCTTCCACATCTTGTCACTGTAGCCCCAGTGGAACTCATGTGTGAGCTGAGGTAAACCACTGCACGTACTTATTCACTTGCGAACGACTGAGTAAGTGAAAATCTTTGTCGTCTAGCCCGACATGGCTTCATGTAACAAAACAGAGTTTACCATCTTAGGCTAGCGCTAATCCACTCCCCTGGTGTGTCTCCACTGAAAGCTATGTTGTATGATGAGAACTAGCATGGGGGTAGGGGGGGTTATCTGGCTAATGTCAGACAGCGCTCACTGTAGGGGTATTGCCATGCATAAGGCCAGACATGTTTACTGTGTGCTCAGTGTTTTATGAGCTGTCCCCCCTTATTCTTCGCCTCCCCCTGTATCCTCTTCTTCTCCCCCTCTTCTTCAGCCTCCTCTTCAATGACGTAATGCAGGAGGCTAATAAGAGCCTGAGAAATTGGATGATCTACTGTTGCTGAAATGCTCACTAATGTTGTCCTCCCCCCTGTTGCTGCCCCTCCAAACTATCACTTCATTTCT